CTTAAGTATTTGTACAGGAAAATGGTCTTAATTCTTACCTTATCCTGTATCCAAGAACCAAATCTAAATGGGTCAAAAACCTAAATATAAATGTATAAAACTGTAAAACTTCTGGAAGATAACGGAAGAGATAGTCTTTGAGACTTGGGGTAGGCAAAAGTTTAGGAAGGTGAGATAATGGTAAAACCCATTGCTGCACACAAAAAATGTGCACATTTTACCATCAGTTATGCCTTCTAAAGTTAATTTTAAAAAAAACACCCTCACTGGACTGTCAATATTTCCAGGATAAAATCCAAATTTCTTTCCATGGCCCTTTACAATCTGACCATTTTTCCTCATTTCCAGTCCCAGTGTGTTACATTCCACATCAGTAGCCCATAATATGTTCCAGCTCATATGGACTTATACAGACCACGCACTTTTTAGTTAACTTTCCTATCTTTTCTTACTCCTTGCCTTAGTCTAAGATAGTCTACCTAGAAAGCTGTTTGATCTCTTTCACTTGATAAATTTCAGTTTTCTCTGCATTACCCAGCTTATTTCTATAAATCTTCCCTCACCTTAGAAAATTAATTGCTGTCTTCTTTGTTCTCTTAGATCATTTCATGCATACATCTGTGTTAGTACATCTCAGTATGCTGTGATAAAGGGTTCTCTAATAGATGATAAGTTGTCTTTCTCCTTTTTGATCTGATGGTAGTATTTGCCATATTGTAAATATTTTACTGAATGTACGAATAAGTATAGTAATATGCATTGTCATTGAAATCTCATTTCCTCTAAGCACTTTGGGTGACATCATGCCAAAGGCATTTACTGGCCATTTTATTTGGTTGTCCCATTTTGTCAACTGTGATGTTCTCAAAAATTTTATCATACTATTGAACTTGAATAGCTTGGTGTTCAAATTTATCTTGGCATGTTTGAAGAGTTCTCTGTATTTGTGTTTAATTAAAACTAAAAGTAATTTTGGACTCATTATGCTCTAAAATTATTAGGTAAAATTAAATAAAGCCAAGAGTGTCTATTCAGAATAATTTACTGTGCATATAAGTCTTGTTTTAGTATCTAAAAACTAATATGATAAGATTTTTAAAATAAAATATTATAAATATGTCTTTCATTATGCTGCCTAGATTGTGGGGCATGGGGGTGGGTGTGTGAATATCTTCAGTAATAGTAAATCTCTTTTTCCACCCTTAAGGGTAGACTTGATATTTAGAAAATAAGAAAAGATGTTGTGTGAATAAGGAATTTCTCAGACTAAGAATTGTACATTTGGCCAAAAGCAAAATGGAAGTATAAAATAATGAGCCTAGTTTGTTTTGTTTGGTGTTTGGCTTTTTTATTATATTTTATTCACAGCCTAGATCTAAAAATATTTCAGAAGAAATGCTGTTAACATTTGAGCACTTCTAGCATTCTGGGAGTAACCATCCTCCCAGAATTAATACTTTTAAAGTAGTTAGAGAACACTTACTTTAAAGTTTAAATTCAATGTGTTTGTCCCCTTTCCTTTAATGTACAATTTTTTACTGTATGAACTTATATGGCAGTGTTTACTGTAAAAATCCATATCTTTTTCATGTAATTTCGCTTTGAAAATATGACTAAAGTCAGGCTATTTATTTTTCTTTCTCTGTATGTATCTAGTAAGCTTTTATATGATGGAAAATCCATTTCTCTTTTTCTCTCTCATTCTTTAAGCTCTAATAGTGATAATAATGATTTTAAAATTTTCCCCCTTCTGGGGAAATGAAATTTCATTGCTCTGGAAGAAATTAATTTTAAAAAGCCACTAGAACAGAGTTGAAATGAAATCAATTTTGCTCTTGATTGAACTGCAACACTGCTCTGTGGTACTAATGGCCGTCTGCCGATGATAAAAATAAGGTGGTAACCGCTCAGCTCCACGGAGAGTGTCTTTTGCAGCTCCCATACAATACACATGCTTCACGGCATCAGTCATTTTATATCTATTTGACACTGATTAATTACTACGATCCCTTCTAGTATTACACCTACTGACTTGGCACTTTTGTCAGGCCTAAACAATTGACTGGAGTTCAGCAGGGTGAATTATGTATTTATTACTGCGACCCTTCATGCTATTTAATTAACTTAAATAAGTGCTGTTGGCACCCTCATTTTGAAATTAAGATTATTATAGAAATAGTTACTTTGCTTGTATTTCATTTTAGACATGAAAATTATACTAGTTTATAAGGGAATTACTGTTAGGACATTTTAATTATTCAGATGTTTTGTTTACTATTGATACTTAAATTTTTTTTCTTTCATGAAAATTTATCAAAAGTATCCATAACTAGCTCATCTTGACTTGTGCTACATAGAACGCTTCAATGTATCCTTTAAACTTGAAATGAAGAATTTGATGACCTGCTTCATAAGCTCTATCGAACACTTCCATTTTGACCCTTATCTTAAGGATTAAACTTAAATCAAACAGCAGCAACCATTAGAGGACATGCACTAAAAAGAAACATTGCAACAATACCTCATATCCTCACAACAAAATCACTAACTTGAATGCACAAAGGATTTTTTTTTTTAGATGGTGGTTAAACATTTGGAATGATACCCATCACCACTGATAATCACTGAAATGCAATCAAAGTAGTCCGATTCTGGCAGTGTTTAAATAACAAAAGTATTGTATTGTTTTCTTTTACTCATTTTTTTTGTTTCGTTTCTAGTAACACCAGCGTTGTTGAAGATGGCAGGAATTAAAAACTGGAATATACTTTATGCCTTTTTTGAAAGTATTCCACCTCTAATCATTCATCCTAAGGAATCAAATCAAAATTCAGTTTTTTTAAATATTCACTATTCTAAGAAGTGAAAGTAATAGAAGTAATAGTGTTTGTTTTTTTGGTTTTTTTGTTGTTGTTTTTAAAGATTTTATTTATTTATTTGACAGACAGAGATCACAAGTAGGCAGAGAGAGAGGAGGAAGCAGACTCCCTACTGCACAGAGAGCCCAATGCGCGGCTCGATCCCAGGACTCTGGGATCATGACCTGAGCCAAAGGCAGAAGCTTTAACCCACTGAGCCACGCAGGTGCCCCAAAGTAATAGTGTTTTAAATTGCCTTTCTTGGGGCGCCTGGGTGGCTCAGTCGGTTAAGCGTCTGCCTTCAGCTCAGGTTATGATGCCTTCAGCTCAGGTTATGGAGCCCCGCATGGGGCTCTCTGCTCAGCAGGAAGCCTGCTTCTCCCTCTCCCACTCCCTCTGCTTGTGCTCCCTCTCTCACTGTGTCTCTGTCAAATAAATAAATAAAATCTTTAAAAAAAAAAAGGAAAGGAAATTAATTGCCTTTCTTTTTTTTCTTTTTTAAGATTTATTTATTTATTTTGGCGGGGTACAGAGAGAAGTATTAAGGTGACTCCCTGCTGAGCGTGGAGCCTGACAGGGGGCTCCATCCCACTATCCATAAGATCACAATAGGCACTGAAACCAAGAGTCAGATGCCCAACTGCCCAACCTACTGAACCACCCAGGGGCCTCAAGTTACTTTTCTTTGTGCTTGTGATTTTTATTTTGATTTATGGAATATTTAGAAGTCTTTTGTTTAATTCCTAAATGTTTTGGGATTATTCAAGTATCTTCACATATCTTTCTGTTAATTTTTAATTTTATTCAGTTTTGGTCAGAGAACATATTCTTTATGATTTCTTTATGTTTAAGTGTATTAAGATCTGTTTTATGACCCAGCATATGTAGATGTAATCTGTCTTGGTTCTATAGATGTCAACCGGGTCAAGTTGGTTAATAGTGTGTTAAATCTTTCATATTCTTTCTGGTTTTCTGTCTAGTTGTTATTGCAATTATTGACAGAGGAGAGGTGAAATTTCCAGTGATAATTGTGGATTATATGTGTCTTCCTGTGGTTCTGTCAGATTTGCATCATGCATTTTAGAGCTCTATAGTCATATAGTCATACATAAAATCATTAGGTCTCTATGATTTGAATGATTATTTTGAAATGTGTTTCTTTATCTCTGGTTGTATATTTTTTCCTGAAGTCATTTTTGTCTGATGTTAATACTGCCATTTCAGACTCTCTGATTAATATAGCGTTACATTATATAGAATATTATATAGAATAGTTCTCCTTCCTTTTACTTTGATGCTGTCTCTACATTCAAAGTATTAAACATATTACAGTTAATATTAGTATCGGTGATACTAGATTTAATTCTGTCATTTGCTTTTTTTTTCTGTATCCCTGTTATTTCTTGCTTTTTTCCTTATTACTTTTTTTTTAAGATTTTATTTATTTATTTGACAGACATAGATCACAAGTAGGCAGAGAGGCAGGCAGAGAGAGAGAGAGGAGGAAGCAGGCTCCCCGCTGGGCAGAGAGCCCGTTGTGGGGCTCGATCCCAGGACCCTGGGATCATGACCTGAGCCGAAGGCAGAGGCTTTAACCCACTGAGCCACCCAGGTGCCCCTACTTTTTTTTTGATTGAATACTCTTTATTATTTCATTTTATCTCCACCCTTGGCTAATTAACTACATGTGTTGGGTTTGTTTTTATAATTGTTGCTCGAGAGTTCCAACATGCCTTTTTAGCTTACCAGACTACCATCAAACATTGGTATGCCATTTCATTTATAACTTAAGACTCTCAGTAATTTACTTCCATTTACCCCCTCCAATCCTTTGAGCAATTGTTATAAAAATTTCACTTCCCCAGATTGTGCTATACATGGATTATCTCCCAATACATTGTAGTTATTCATGCTTTAAATATTCAGTTATGTTTTAAGTTAATTTTAACTTTTTTCATTTTTTTAGATCTGCTTTGTTCAAAAATTAAACATAAAATTGTCCTAAAAATTTATTAATTTTTTTTCCAAAATGAGTGAACTGTCTCACAATGATAAGCAAGAAGTACTAGATATGCATTATTATTTCCCTGCCATACTGTATTCCGTGAATTCTTAAACACATCTTTTGCCTCTCTTCCATAGGTGAAGCCTTGAAAGGAAGGATCACAGTCCACAAGAATAAGAAAGATCCACGTTCTCTCATTGTGACCCTCACACTGAATAATTCAACTCAAACTTATGGTCTCCAGTGAAAAGGCTACGAAAGCACAACTAACTTGCAGTTTTTAGTATGGGGGTGGGTTATGGGTAGGAGTGGAGAGCGGGGGTTTTATGTGAGCATGTAGCTGATGGATCTTTCCTAATGAATCTACTCAAGATGAGAGACATGTGGTTGGAATCTCATATAATTCAGCTAAGGAAGGGAACAACAGTTCCTAGTGGACCACCTACGTTATTATCACAGTCTTGGAAGTCTGCTCAGCAAGATTTTACGAATGTAACCGTTACACTGAGTTTAGCTATACTGAAAATATTTAAATAGGCCTAAATTTGAAAAGAAGTAGTCTTTTGTTGTTTTTAATGTTTCTTACTATAAATTTTAAACACTAGTAACTGATTAGTTATTTGGGTAATGTTTTATTAAACTAGTAACTATATACAAACTATTGTACATTTTATTGCAGATTTCTACTCTGAGGAGTAGTTTTTAATTGTATTATTTGGTAGAATATTAGATTATAAGTAAAGAACAAGTGGGAGGGACTAAAATATGGAAAAGAACATCACACAAATCATATTTGAAAGACAGCTTAGTTGATTACCCTCTAGTTCTGAACTTCTCATCTTTGCAGATGTTATTTTGCCAGTTTTCTAGTACTGCCCAGGAAATCTAATTTCAATATGTTTATCCTAGGTTTCATACAAGTTTTTAAAGGTCGGGAAAAATAAGTACTTATTTACTAATATATCTTTTTCAAACTAGATTTACGTGCAAAGTTAAACATGTAACTGTTAACCTACTTACGGTTGTGTTGTTTACAGTTATTGACTCAATTTGAAAGGCAGAATAGAAAACATTCAATAAAATGTGTACAACAACCATTAACATTATAAAATGTTTTAACATACTAAAGCCTTTTATAAGATCAGAAGTATTTTAAAAAGTCTTATCAAAGGAATCATCTTTAAGAAAACGGGGATTTAAGGACAGCTGGCTCGTACACTTTTCCGTTTGACAGCTGGTTCTTTTTCAAAATAAGACCTACACAGGGCAGCATGGCGTGGTGTTGAGCCGCATGAGTTCTGGGGTCAGTGCCTAGGTGCAGGCTCTGGTGACAGCTCTTACTCGCTGTTGGATCGTAGTCCTGTTCCTTCATCTCTCTCTCCCTTTATGAATACGCCAGTTCATGAGTTAATACATTTCAGCTACTTCAATCAGTGCCTGACACATAGAAGACATCCATTAAATGCTACGTGATAGTATCATTAGTCAGTCAAGGATCCCTTCCACGGAATATGTGCTGTCTACATTAGATTCATTTGGGAATTGTTCCCTCATCAAATAGTGCCTTTAAGTACATGAATGGGTGGGAATATTTTGACAAATTAATATAGCAAAATTCTTTTAAAAATTGTCTTTTGGTCTTAGGGAACTGGACTACTAGCAATGGCAAAATTAACCCCTTCAAATGATATATTTCAGATCACAGTCTTTTAAGTCTTGGCTTCTTCTATAAGCATGATTTCTGTTTTCACTGGGTTAAACCGGCCAGCTTGTTTTTGAATTTAGAACATTATTAGAAATGTGTGGTGCTGATAATTTGTACCTGAAGTCTTTCCAGACAAAATTTAAAGTACTTTGAATTTTAGATTCAAATTTAAAATTTTTGTCTGGAAAGACTTTAAATTTTGTCTGGAAAGACTTCAGGTACAAATTTGGGTATAGTAGAGTGATAAAAATAAGGAAGCCCTGTAAAAAGATTTAATGGATTTTTAAAGTAACCAAATACTGCCTAATTTTTTTGCCTTATTTTTCTTTCATGTAAGTGAGTAACAAATTTTTCAACTACTTAAAAAAGCATTTCTCAAAAATGATTTTTTTTTTTTAAACTCTTATTTGATTTGCCTAGATTTTCATCCAGTGGCTCTTTTGATTTTCTCCTGGTTATAAATAGGCCAACCATAGTTGGTAGGTCTCTGTTTGCCTTTCCAGGCCAAAACATTCTAATGTGTGTACCTAAACATTTTATGAGACCATGAGAGTCCAAATGTTAGCTCTTTGATTGGAATTTCAGCCGTTAAGCTGGTACAAAAAATTAAAACTTCATAGCCCCTGACAGTGATAAATGCACTGTCCTTTCATTCTGTGACCGATGCACATTTAGGGATAGCAAACTACTCTGTCCCAAGCATTTTGTTTCATTTCCATTAAGAAAATACATTTTTCCTCCTGTTTTTCTTTGTGAAGATTAACATTGTTATATTGTAATCTATAGGATTCATCCAACTAGGCATCTCTATTCAGTTGAAGAGTAATTTTTGAACAGAGCATTTTGGAAGGAGTGTTTCAACAAAACAGCTCTTGAGGGTGGACAGCATTGCACAAAGTGGTCCAGTAAGGAGCCCCAACTGCTAGCACATTATAAATTTATAACACATTTTAAATGAGGGAGCTGTCATTTCCCTTTGAAATAACCCCTGTTTGAAAAGGAGGGCAAGTAATTCTGGTCCTGCAGGGTTATTTGCTTCTTACCACTTAATCTAGGTTAACCAATCTGGTCCACCTGTGTTTTCCATTAACCTACCTTTCTCTCTTTTTAAAGTGGAATATCTAAAATGTATTGTATGAAGTTACCGAGCTGAGGTCTGCAGTCCACTATCAGGTGGAGCAAACTTGCTGACAGTACCATTAAAAACTTAGAATAGGAAAGATTAAAACAGGATCGTGTATCATTTAGCTCCTGCCAGTCATGCCAGAAATGATCCTTTAAGCTGTACATAGATCCAGAACATCTAGGGATTCAGATTTTTCTGTGACGAATATCTCAAAAACAGTATTAAATCTACCCTGCTGTCATGGAATTTGAATCTGTGATGAAAGGCAAGGTCAGTGAGGTAGCTGAGGCCAAGCATTGCCTACAGTGGGTTGGCAGACTATGGCCTGGGGCCAGATCTACCCCATGGTCCATTTTGATAAAGTTTTACTGGAGCAGAGGTAGCTAATAGTGTACATAGACTTTCTTCACAAGGTTCGTTAACGGCAGTGGCAGAGAATATACACCTAATAGAACACATTACAAACACTGTAGTTTTTATATAAACTTGAAGCTAAGCAACCAGATGTCCTTCATTTATGAAACTTAGAGGATTAACCAAGACTTCACCCTAATTTAAAATACATATATATAGTATTTACATACTTGAGACGTGTCTGGAATTGTAACAGTGTCCTGTGCAAAGGAAATTAGTACACTAAAACTTGGTAGCTGGTTATCAATTTCAGTTAGTTTTAATGAGACAGAGAGAGGTAACCAACAGAACTTTTTCAAAGTTAGAGATGGTTGAACCTCACCCAAGAGCTACAAACTAAACCAATGAAGGACTTCTGTGAATCTCACTAACCTCTGGGTTTCTAAGAGGGCTCTGGACCCCAAACCAACTGCCAACATTAGGAGAGACAGTTGGGGAAATTGCTTTATATCAGCACTTTTCAACATGCCTTGAGGCTCCCAATGCCTGCCTTGCTTGGTTCTCACTCTAGAATGTGGTGTTTAATCACTAGGCCCCATGGGAAGCTATGTAAAGACCCTGCCCAGCTATCAAGCCTTGGAGGCTCATGTATTTTTAATGATTTTGTGTTTGTTTCCTTACTATAAAGTTAGGGTAAATGTTTCCAAGCAAAATGATGAATAAGCAAAGTACTTTTAAAGTATCTTAGCAATTCACTTGTCTTTTCCAATAAAGTTTTCAGTGTTTAAAAAAAAAAAAGCCTACCAAAGAAACGGTTTTTGTATAGTGCCTCAACATCTTGACTAACGTGGAGTAGTTAGCATTCATTTAGCTCTAGAGTATAGCTAAATATATTGTAAAAATAGTCTTATCATTGAGTTCATTGTAAATTTTTAAAATTAAGATAACAGTAACTTAAATAGTAAAGGAAGATGAAACCCCAGCCTCCCGCTTGTTCTGCATCCCAGGTTCATATCCCTGTGCAGTTCTGTGTGTCTCTTTTCTCTCTGAAATCCCTTGCCCTCCTGAGGATATTGCTTCCCCTGAAGACCTCTTAAATAGTGACTGTCCTCTCCCACACCACTTATCTCCCTAGACTTGGGTGTGCATTAGATGACTTGCCTGCTTTTGGTTGCCAGTTATGGACCATTCTCCAAAGTAGGAAGGACTTCAGAGTCCCATCTTATCTTCTGTCAACAAGACTGTAACACAAACTCTCCCCCTCCAGATTAATTTCCATTCCTTGAAGTTTTAACTGCCACCACTGCCCCGCACTGCTCCTGCCTAATCAGTGAGTTTAAGATTTCATGTGAATGATCCTTTTATACCCTGACCTTTTGGCTCATTGACCTCATCCAGTGATCTTGCCCTTTTCCTAAATTCAGCCACTCCTGTGGTCATCCTGTAGAACTGGCCATACCCAGGGCTCAAAACTCCTGTGTAAATCTCAACATTAAGTATCATTCTAACTCCCTCGGTTTTCAGCTCACACTCTTTTGTGATCCAATTCCAGCAGTCCTTCAACTCCACCGACCAAAATCCACTCATTCATACCACATGTCATCTGTCCCTCACCCCTTCCTGTTTACGCTTCCCTCTTGGATCAGTTTAAAAATCCGTAGTCCATCATTATAATCACCCCCTTTCATATCGCTGCTACTTCACCTCTTCTTTCACTTTTCTGTACTCAGCTAAACCACAATTCTGCTTCTAGTCCAAACCCATGACTGCACATATGCAGCTCAGTAAGGCTGGAGGAAGGCACTCAACCATACTGATGGTCTGGTCTTAAATTTATGACTCCTAATCTCCAGTGTCCAGAAGTCATTCCTTATTTTCTGGTCTGTTTTTCTCCCAGTCTCCTCAATGACTATTTTACACTTCTTTCCTCCAGCCCATAGAACCTCCTCCCTCATTCTTTCAGGTGAAGTCCTTGTTTGTTATTTTACCAGGAAAAATAAAAAGAATCTGAGAACTTCCACAGGTTTCCATACCACATGCCCCGCCAATTTTTATGCCTGCATACTGCCTCCCCACTAAGTGAACGTCCACTGCTTCTAGCCAAAGCTAGCCTCTCTCCCTGTGTCCCACATCTCCTCTGAGTAGTTCAGAGATAATTGCTTTAGCATGTCTCTCTGTATCATCAAATTTTCACTCCACTATTCTCAAGTTAACTTACAAGTAGGCCATTATTTCACCCATGATAATTTTTTTTTTTAAGTAGACTCCATGCTGGATGTGGAGCCCAACACAGGGCTTGAACTTAAGACCCTGAGATCGAGACCTGAGCTGAGATCAAGAGTGGGACACTTAGCTGACTGAGCCACCCAGGTACCCCTATGGTGAAAAATATTTTAACCCCACTTTTCCCTCTGCTATTGCCACAGTTCTAGTTTTTCTTTTACATTGAGACCACTCAAAGAGTTGTCCGTGTTCATGGTCTCTGTTGCCTCGCTTCCCATTTTTTGAACAACTGTATTGAGGTATAATTTATATAAAATAAAATGCACACATTACATGTACAGTATAACAACTTGGCAAGTGTATGCATATACTCAACAACCCTGTTAATATTTAGAACACTTCTTTCACACCAGAAAGTTTTCCTGTGCTACTTTGCAGTCAACATGTATCCCCACTCCCTCTTCCAGGCAAAATCTATACTGATTGCCATCAAGATAAATTTGTTTTGCTTGTTTTAGAACTTCATGTAAGGGGGGTCATATCGTATGTACTCTTTCATTTTTGTCTTTCAGCATAGTGTTTTTTGAGATTCATCAAGTTTATTTTTGTCAACAGTCCATTCACCTACTGGTGAACATTTGGATTGTTTCCAGGCTGGAGCCATTATGAGCATTGGTGTAGAAATCTTTTTTA